TATTTAACAAACACTCAGAGTACAACTCTTGTTTGAATATTGAGCTTAGAGTAAGGACTTGTGCCAGCAGATACTTAGAACCTATTTTTGTTGTTGTTGTTCATCCTCACCCAAGGATATTTTTCCATTGATTTTTAGAGTAGAAGGGAGGGGGAAAGACAGAGAAAAGATTGACATGAGAGACACACATCCAATGGCTGCCTCTCAAATGAGCCCCAATCAGCACCAGGAATCGAACCTGCAACCTAGGTACATGCCATTGACTAGAATCAAACCAGGGACTCTTCAGTCCATGGGCCCACGCTCCAACCAATGAGTCAAACTGTCTAGGAAATTATTTTTTTAAATCCAGGATGGAACACTTACTTCCTTCCATAACATACAGTGTTGAGTTTTTAAATCAAGTTCTAATTTTTAGCATTAATAGTTTTTAGATCATATGCCAGGGTTAAGAAATATTTTCTTTTTCTGGAATTTGGACTACATTTATTCTAAAAGAGTGTACCAGATAATATGTATTGCTTTGTGTATTTTTTTCCAATTAAAAATAATGTATTTGTATTCACTCATTAAACAAAGGTTAGAGCCAAGACCGGTTTGGCTCAATGGATAGAGCGTCGGCTTGGGGACTGAAGGGTCCCGGGTTCGATTCCGGTCAAGGGCATGTACCTTGGTTGCGGGCATATCCCCAGTAGGGGGTGTGCAAGAGGCAGCTGATCGATGACTCTCTCTCATCGATGTTTCTAACTCTCTCTCTCTCCCTTCCTCTCTGTACAAAATCAATAAAATATATTTAAAAAAAAAATAAAAAATAAAATAAACAAAGGTTAGAGTCCCTGCTATGTGACAGGCACTATGCTGGACAATGGGCATGCAAAGATGAATAAATAACATATGGATTCTACCTACCCTTAGGAGTTAGGAATTCTGCATATGTTTGATCCAAACTAGTTCATAAAAACTGAAGCATATACCCTAGTAATCCTGCACTTCAAAGTGAAACTGGCAAGCCACTTAGTTAAAAAATAAGTTAATTTCAGTTTAATACAGAAAAAAATGTTAATGTTTATGAAAAATGTGTAATTGTCTATCACTTTACTATTAAAGGGAGAAAATAGAGAACATGGAAGCTGCAGGGGAAGAGAAAGCCCCAAGTCCCAGGGCACAGTGGGTTCTAGGATTAGCTGTGCCACTAAGAAGCTGGGACTAGTTTAACTGCTCTCTTTCCCCACAGGAAATGTGCAAATCAGATCCACCTTACTAGGATAAGAAAAAAAAATTTTTTTTTGAGAAAGTGTAACAAAATCTGATGAATCTGAGGCACTCTGGCCCTAACACCTGCTTTTTGTTGTTGTTTGACTGAATGATTTATTATGCTCCCACTTTGGCAATGATTAGCCAGGCAAATCTGCAAAGACAATTTGAGTTCTGTATGCCTCATGAAGTGGAAAGAATGCAGGAAGTGGAGTCAGAAGACCTAAGTTTATATTCACACCATTATTCTTACTAATTTTACAAGGTTAAAAAAGAGCAAATTACTTAACCTCTTTGAAACTTACTCTCCTAACAGTAAAATGGAAATAAATCTATCTTACAGTATTATTTCAAAGACTAAGAAAATGGGAAAACAGAAATGATTATAAATCAAATAGACATTTTTTTCCAAAGAAGATGTACAAGTGGCCAATAAGAATAGGAACAGATATTCAACATCATTAGCGATCAGGGCATTAGGGCAATGCAAATGAAAACCACAGATACCCCTTCCCATTAGGACTATCCTAGACAACATTTAACAAGTGCAGGAGAAAATGGAACCCTCACACTTCATTGGTGAGAATGTAAAATGGTGCGGCAGCTATGAAAAAGCTTGGCAGTTCCTCAAGAAGTAAAACAGAGCTACCATATGACTCAGTAATACCACACATAAGTATTCATCCAACCGAACAGAAAGCCTATGTCCACACGAACACTGGTAAATAAGTGTTCAAAGTAGTATTACTCATAATAGTAAAAAAAATTGGAAATGTGGTATATCCATATAATGGAATATTATTCGGCCAATAAAAGGAATGACGTACTGATACATGAATATGGAAGAATCCTGAAAATATTTTGCTAAGTCAAAGACACAAAAAAGCCACATACTTTATGCTTCCGAAAACATGAAATGTCCAGAAAAGGCAAATCCATAGATACACAAAGTAGATAAGTGATTGCCAAATGCAGAAGAGAGAATAGGAATAATGGCCAATGGGTCTGAGAGTGTCTTTTCAAGAATGATGAAAATGTTCTTGAATGTGAAATGTTTGTCCTACTTTATGTATATATTAATGCCACTGAACACTTTAAAAGGGTAGAGTCTAAACTATATAAGTTTTATCTTCATAAAAGAAAATAATTTAAGTTTCTGCTACTTTTCATTAGTAAATATCCTACTTTTCTCAAGAGATTGTTCCTGTTGCTTATAACAGCTAGGAAAGTTCTTGAAGTTCAATGTTACACGGATAAGTGGTATCCTTAGTGAAGTTAAACTATTAATTATGCCAGAAAAACTTTCTTTTTTTTTTTTTTAATCAATCTTTATTGTTCATATTGTTACAAAAGTTCCTCATTTCTTCCCCCTCCACCAGGTTCCTATCCCACCCTCCGCCCCCTCCCTATCCCCCATTGTCCTCATCCATAGGTGCAGTTTATGTTCAGTCTCTTCCTCCCTCCCTTTCCCCGATAGTAAATCCCTTTTCAGATAGTAAATCAGTTACTTAGCATTTTCTCATATCAATAATACCACCACATGCCCAATGATACATTTCACACAAAAGACATTTCCCAGAAAAACTTTCTACAGATCATATTAATTTGATATAATTTTATTCCTTCAGAAGTCCTTATTAATATCAAGTGTATTTTTAGGAAGCAGAGAAGAGCTTCAAGGAGTCTTTATTAAGCACATGAAAAACACAGTTCAAAATGTAGTATTTTCTGCTTATTAAATTAGTAGACATCTCGTTTTCAGATATGCCTGTCCAACAGAAACCCAAATAGGCGAATTCTGCAACCTCTACCACTTCACATGTTCTGCATTTTGCTGTCAGACTTCCAGGTCCATGCATCATCAGCTCCTAATCTCATCCACCCATTATTGCTTCCAACTATTATTCACAGGGGTGCTTGGTAAACTCTTTAAATCCAATCAATGCATTCCCTAATGTGTGGGTATTTACAGTGTAGGCCCATTTTTTAAGGCTAGATTGTTTGAAAATAAACATTCCGCAAAATTATTTCCTGGCATTTTGGATGTACAAGCAATCTGCAGAGTTGTGCAATGCTTTTTTAAGCCCTCTGGGAATATTTTAATGTATTTGGTCACGGGGTAAGAAGCAAGTCCCCAACTTCTGTCCACATAAAGCTTCCTGGTTCTAGAACAAAGACATATTTTACTGCTCAGAGCAAAAGGAAGATATCTTCCTTCTATTTAGTATTGTTAAAACTAAAATAGCACACCAATGAAACCAGATAGGTGAGAGCATGACCCAAGGTATGTCAACAAAGATAAACCTTCAGTATTATGTATTCTGCTTTGGGAGGTTGAAAAAAAAAAAAAAAAGTTTCTCACGCCTAAGAAAATAAAGGTTTGTTAAAAGCCAAAGAAAACCATATGGATTAATAGTTTCCAACATGGGGGGGGGGGGGGGGGGGGGGGCATTCTGAGTGGCAGTTCCAATGGAAGGTTTGCCACCCTGTGCTAGAATGCGTGGTGGGGTACAGTCGGCCACAGACAAGATGGGAAGGAAGAGGTGACCTGTCTAAGAGCCGTTATCAAGTGACTCCCTCCACAGCACTTGCAACTTCCAGGGGGAGGTCTGCCTGTGCAGGAGCCAGATGTCAAAGCAAAGCACCCAGGGAGCCGCGGGGGCCGTGCACACCGGGCATCCCAGGGCGACATCCCACCCGCATCCTCCAGAGCCGACCCCACTGGGGTCCTAGCCGGGGTCCCCCCTAACCTACAGAAAATAAACACATCCAGGGAGATCTCGACCCAGAAGGGCCCCGGCCCCCTCCCTTTGTGGCTCCCGCAGAAGCTGAGGGAAGGGAGCGCGCCGCAGGCCCGCGGAAGCCGGAGCCTCCGCCGCCCGGGAGGCGTCCCGCCCGGAGCCTCCGCCGCAGCCCGGGGCCTGAGCCGGCGGCCCCCGCCCCCCGGGCGCGCCGGTCTCCGGCCACACAAAGGAGCCGGCCCCGGAGCCGGGCGCCACATCGGGCCCCGCACACCGGGAAGATCCGGATTTAACGCCTAAACCTGTTGCACGGTTCGGGTCCCTTTCCACCCAGACACGAAGACGCGCGCTCCGGGGGGAAGACGCCCGCCGGCGGCCCGGGCTGGGCGGGCCGCAGCCGCACCCCGCGGGCGGGCGGGCGGGCGGGCGGGCGGGCAGGCAGCGGCGCGGAGGCGGGGGCCGCCGGCTTCCCACCGCGGGCGCTTTGTCTGCGGCGGCGGCGGCGGGGGCTGCGGGCGGGGGCGCCCTCCCTGCGCCGCGCGGCCCGCGGGGGGGGGGGTGGGGGAAGCCGGCCAGCCGCCTCCGCCTCCGCCCGCGCCGGGCCTGCACCCGCCTCCCGCCCGGGCCGCCCGGCCACACGGCGGCCGCACTCACCTGGCCGGCGCGGCGCTGCGGACCGGCTCTCCCGGCGGCGGGCGAGGACGCGGGGACGCGGACGGGGCGCGGGAGGAGGGCGAGGCGGGAGGGGGCGGGCTGGGGGCGGGGCGGGCCCGGGCGGCGGCGGCGCGCGCGGGGCTCCGGGCGCTCGTGGCGAAGCGTGTCCGGCCGCGGCGTGCGTCAGGCGGCGGCGCAGGCGGCCCCGCGACCCCGAGACCCGCGGTCCCACCCGCGTGCGCCGACCCCGCACGCGCCGGGGTAGCGGCTGCGCAGAGGCCCCGCCCCGCCGGGAGGGGGCGGGGCCGGGAGGGCCGGCGGCGGGGGGCGGGGGACCGGGGACGGTGGGAGGAGGGGGCCTCCTTGCACCCCGGACCCTGCTTGCAGGTGGGAGCTGCCGAGCCGGCCACGAGGGTGGTGGAAGGGGCGCTGGACCGAGAGTCAGGAAACCTGGGCTTCAGGAAGGACCCGATTCCTTGGCCCCCCGGCATTTGTTTTCCCTCCTCCTCCTCCTGAAATGTGCTGGAGGTTCAAGTGTGTGGTGTGCAATTTTTCAAAATTCTAACATGGACATCCTCCTCCTTTTTTTGGGGGGGAGGAGTAATTCCTTTTCTCCCAAGTACCTACTGCCAGGAAATGCCTGGAGATGGTCCCCCCCACCTAGCCCTGCCTATGATGGGCCGAAGGGTGAAGGCAGCTGGCTGGGAAGGTTGGCGCAGAATGGGGTGTAGCCAACAAGGGCTGGATTGGAGGCCTTTGTTTTTCCTTGGGGATCTTTCCACTGGACAGTCCCAAATGGCCCTCAGACACGGGCTACTTCCCCATGTCCACCAGCTTTGGTTATTTCTCTCCAACGTACTGACTTCATGGTGTCTATTCCTCTGACTGTGTTGCACAAGTCGTTTTTATGTCATTTCCTGAATTCGGCTCAAAAGAGTCATCCACTAATACAAACCTAGGGCAGCCATGTGTTCCCAATCCCAGGCATTCCAAATTACTCAGTCTGCTACTCACTTCACTATCACCTAATTCCATGACTAAAATCTCGCCATTCCCACAACCAGGCCACTCAATTTCTCTCCACTAAGGTTCTCTCATTTAAAATACCACAGAGGGACTCTTCCTCTTAGTTCTGTGACTAACAAGCTGTCTCCACTACGTTACCCTCTTTGCCACTCTTCAGTTGGTCAAGCCTTTCCAATTTCCCTTCTGCTGCTGTCTCATGTCCCTGCCAGAGAATGCTCCAAAAACAGACTGCGTCTTTAAAATCTTTCAATTAGAATCAAGTTAATTACTGTGATGTAGAAGTCCTTTTATGATCTGATCCCTAGACCTCTCCAACTCCAGCTCTAACTCCCACCACATGTCACACACAAAATCCACAGGCTCTGTCTCTGTGCCTCGGACATATTTCAATAGTTTTCCCCACCTGAAATCCATCCCTCTTTTAACCAGGTGAGCCTCCTCCTACTATCCTTAGGAGGGTTGCAGCATTTCCTCTTTGGAATCTTCCCCGACTTCCCCTCCTTTCACCACACCCACATCCTCACCCTATATACACTTACGCTGAATTAAATATTCTTTCTGTTTTCAGAGAACTTTTTAATCTATTCTTTGTGGTAATCATTGGCACTCTCCTTTGGTCTGGTGGTCTTTTCTTACTAGATCATGAGTTCCTTAAAAGGATAAGAGATTTTTCTGTTTACTTCATGTTTGGCTCCCAGACTGAACACACAGCTCAGCTCTAAGAAGGTTCTCTTTAAATATTTGTTGAAGTGTTGATGTCATTATTCATTTCAACAAATACACGTTAGGCATCTACTCAACAAGAGGGAGATACAGTGCAATCCATAGTCCCTGCCTTCCTTAGCCTTCCAGAGTATTCTGTCCTCTTTTACTAGATGGCATTCTCCGCTTATCACTGTAAACCCTCTCCTACTGCCACTCACATTCTTTGCTTGTTTTAATAAAGCAAGAGCATGCCAAATAACTCATAATAGGAATTCACAAAACATTCCTGCCCTTCCTCTTTCCATACCCTCTAGTTCCACACTTTATTGCCCAGTTATTAGATGAGGATAACTGCTGTGACAGAAAAAAGAAAAGAAAAAAAACACGTTAGATTGTAAGTACAGAAAATGAACTTTGGATGCTGTAGTTATTTTCTAATAGCCACAGAGAATGCACATAGTTCAATCACTTAAATTCACTGGGCCTCACTCCTGGAGGTCCTTTGGCTCTATGATTAGAAAACATGTTTAATATTTTGTTTAATAATATAAGCATATCGTTATATATGTGTAAATTAAAGGCACTAGCAGAGCCTGGCAAAACAGCTGTCCAGCATATGCTTGAACTCCGAGTGTAGGGAGCCACTCCTTACAATAGTATTCATCTTTGAACAGTCCTGCTAGTTGCTACATTGAACTGTGTCTCACTATACATTTAGTACGTGGTTATGGTATTGGTAGAAACACCACTGAACTTAAACACAAAATGGTATGGTTTATAATTGTCTAGCTGTATGACCTTGAACACTTGCAAAACAGCTCCAAGTATGAGTTTGCTCAACTCTAAAAAGGGGGAAAGAAATGAGACTTTAAATCATTGTTATAAATATGAATACAAGGTGTAGTAAGATGTCCAGTGAATCTGAAGCTAGTACTAATGAGTATTGAGTCCGGAACAGCCCATTTCCCCTTCTGTACATAGCCTTTAAACATTTGAAGTCAGCCGAGACCGGTTTGGCTCAATGGATAGAGCGTTGGCTTGGGGACTGAAGGGTCCCGGGTTCAATTCTGGTCAAGGGCATGTACCTTGGTTGCGGGCATATCCCCAGTAAGGGGTGTGCAAGAGGCAGCTGATCGATGACTCTCTCTCATCGATGTTTCTAACTCTCTATCTCTCTCCCTTCCTCTCTGTATAAAATCAATAAAATATATTTAATAAACATTTGAAGTCAGCAACCATAGCATGTTGCCTTCTCAAACTACCCTTCACTTAAATATCCCATTTATCTCCTCCAAACACTCTCATCTAAACATCTCTCCAAATGTGGCATATAGAACTGACTCCAACATTCCAGCTATAAAGGGAGGAGTAGAGAAGTACAATTTTCTGCATTCTTTGAATGATATTTGAAAATTCAGTTTGATTAATATGTTTTTACCATCCCATGCTGTTTTTATAAACATTGTTTTTGCCAACTAAAAACAAAGATATCCCCAAAATATTTGTTCAGCCTTTAGCATGCAAACAGCTATAAAACTCAATCCCCTCTGTACTTGCACAGTTCAGTTTTGGAGACCGATTGCAGATCTTTGCATTTACTTTTCTTAAATATAAGAAAATATAATGGAAGTGTATGTGCCAGAAGCCCCTATCCAATGGAAAGCAGTGAAAGGAGAATAGCATTTAAAACATATTCAGGGGAGGGAGGAAGAAGGCCAAAGTGTCTTGAAGCAACAAGTTCCTCAATTCCTAATTTCTCCCCTACAACTTCTCTTAGGCTTTTAATTAAATACCACATTTAAATATCATCTAAAATGATGTCACTTCTCACACACAGTTTGCTTTATAAGTGTACATTGCTTCCTGGAACTTCTGAAAAACTCCCTAAGCTGAGACAAGCAGGTATTGCAATGCCATTTTCCTGAAGCTCAGCAGGGTTAGGGAATTTACTGAACACTCACTCTGCACCAAAACCTACTTCTTGGAGAAACTGCCTCCACCCAGCCCCTGGTGGCCCCAGGCAGTACTCTTCAGCTTCCGGAGGGCACCTGACCTATAAACAGTCAAGTCATACGTATTCAGAAATGACCTGGGGGAACTCAGTTCCAAAAAGCTGGTCCATTCAGACAATCAGCTGGGGAAGCTGAAAACAAAAGGAGGCACCGAGGGGGGTGGCCTCGGGTGACATCACCAGTGAGCAGATGTTAACACCAGCCAATGGCAAGCAGAAAACATCCCTTCACACATCCATTCACTCCTTCATTCAGTAAATGCTTATTAAGCATCTTCTCTGGTTTAGGGGCTGGGAATACAATATGAGCAAAATACGCAATACTTCTGCCACATGGATCTTGCATTCTGGTGGCTGAGAAAGGCAATAAACAATAAATAGGTCAAACAAAATCTTAAGAAGGTGACAAGTGTTGAATAAATATACTGCAGGGAAGAGGACTAGAACTGCCAAGGGGATGGGGTACAATTTTTGATAATAGGAACACAGAAGCCTCCCTGAGGTGGCATCTGAGCTAAGGCTTGAAGGAGGTAAGGCAGTGAGTCTGTGGTCCAGAAAAGACACATAATAGTAAAAGCTGAAGGGAGCTAAAGGGTAGTGGGCTAATCATGAAGCAGACACCAAGAGAGAAAAGCAAAATCGGCCACACAGAGAGCCGGGTATTGAAAATCTAGCTGGGAGATTTTAAAAACAAAATGGTCCCGGTACTTCTCCAGGTGCACTACATAAGAATCTTTGCTAATGGGGCATCAAAGTCTGTATTTTTAAAACATTCCCCAACTGACTGGGATGAGAACCCCTGAACTAAAGAAAAGGTCCACCAATTCCTTCTGATACCTTGGGTTCAGAACATCCTTCAAATCCTGGGTTCCAGAAAGCCAAACTCAATTCGCATTTCTCTCCTCCTAGGAGGTCTGATTGTTCAACTTGTCTGTTATTCCTGGGAAGCCTATTATCATGGCTGAGATCTCGGTTTTTCTAATTTGCACATGTATACTTCGAAACTGAACAAACAGGAACCAAACCCCGACACCCTATTCCCTGAGGACACATGTTGGAGTTTCCTGCAACCAAAATTGCCTAACATACCACACGCACTACGCTATGAGATGCCGGTGCCAGAACTGCAACACTGGGCTGGTGTTCACTCTGCGCTTCTTGCCTTTAGGGACAAAACAAAAATGGCAATTTGTGGTTCTTCCTCTAGCCTTTCAAAATCCATCTCTGAAAAGTTGTGCAAGTATTGTATTTTAAAATCTAAAGGTGTATAAGATTCATTTCATAGTGTACATTTAATACATGATCAGTTTCTTAAGAGAATGCTTAATAATTTTATTTAAAAATGACATTTAATAGTCAGTGTGCCAGTTTTTCCATTTGACATTTTAATTCTAAGCTCCAAATTTTTTCTCTTTCACCGAGGTGGTTAAAAATACCTAATATATTTTTAAAATATGGTTTGTGTTTTTGTTTTAGTTCTCCCCCTTCCCCTTCAATCATAATTTTTTTTTTTTTTTTTTTTTTTTTTTTTACACAGGCCAAAGGAAAGAGTAAAAAGCTGTATTTGTTTTTTTTGTAAAATCAGCAAAACCTTTTCCTAACAAAACTAACTTCTAGTTGTGGAATCATGGATTTTTAAAGCTGGATCATATCCTATCTATTTCAACATCCTCATTTTCCTGTGGCCCTGAGATACCATGCAACACACCCAACTCTAGAGTTAGTTAACAAAACATCAGAGATGATATCCAGGCCTCCTGGCTACTCATTAGTATAAGCTGAAAGTATTGGAATATTTGCAATACCAACTGTATGTGTATAAATAGATGTTAGATAATTTAGGCATAGTACAAAATTATCTCTTAAACATCAATAGTACTTTAAAAGTATTCTGAATAACCCTAGCTGGTTTGGTTCAGTGGATAGAGCGTTGGCCTGCAGACTGAGGGGTCCCAGGTTCAGTTCTGGTCGAGGGCACATGCCAGGGTTGTGGGCTCGATCCCCAGTAGCAGGTGTGCGTGCAGGAGGCAGACAATCAATGGTCTTTCTCATCATTGATGTTTCTATCTCTCCCTCTCCCTTTCTCTCTAAATAAAAATGTATATTTTTTAAAGTATGCTGAATAATAGAAAATGAAACAAAATTTCAGACTAAGGAAAGGTCCCTAATTTCAGCATTAATTTACTGTCACTTTTAATTAGTATAAGCTTTGTAATAGAGTTTAACAGGTGTCAAGTTAAAAGCAAATTATCCAGGAAAATTGTTTTAAATACTTCTGGCAATGTATAATACATTACATTATACAGTATAGTATTTCCAATTTTTATAGTTCTCACCAATAAATTTTATTTCAGAAAGTACCATTATCTGTCAATACTGAAGTATATGTTCAAATAGGTATTGTGTCAGAACTCTTTGGTTGTAAGAACCAAAGCCAATTTGAACTGGATTGAAGTAAGGGATGAAAGCTTTTTCTGGAACAGTGCTCTGGATTTCCTGGAATCATACTGAAGAAGCTCAAGAGCACTGAAGAAAGAATTGCATTTTGGGGAACTTCAGAGACCCAAGTAAAGTCAGCATCTTTCTCAGTCCCTTCTTGAAAACCTATTCCTCTCTGACTCATCTTCAATCTGTCCAACAGCAGCAAACCAGTCTGTTTTACTAGAGAAGACAAGTTCAGGGTAGCACTGGGTGTACATCTCTGGCTTATGGATAGCTCATGCAGAAAAATATCAGGAGTGTCTGGTATATTGGGTCACATGAATGTTCGAACATCTGGGCCCTCAGAACAAGACGGGTGTGGGGGGGGAGTTCTGTATCATAACTGGAAGCTTCCATCATGGAAGGAAGTTTCCTTTGAAGGAGTTAGGGGAACAGCAAGAAAAGGGGGGAAAGTATCATCAGGCCGACAAAAAACACTACTCATCGCAAGATAGGTTTAGAAAACCAAACCTCACACAAAAAAGAAATTTTTGTGAAATATATCTTTTACCCACTTAAATATGAACATTAGAATGTAAATTATTTATAGTCTCATTTTATATCAAAACCCTACACTCATGTATCTTTTTTTCTAATTTTAATGCACCTTTAAAACCCTACCCCCAAAAAAGTCCTTCGATTTATTTATGATTATGGTAGAAAAGCACAATTTTGCTTGATCAGAGCATTTTTACTTATTACATGCATTATAGTTTTAAAAATTTTGATCTAAAAATATGTTATTCAAAGTTCAAGGTGCATAAGCACTTAATTGTCCAATTCAGCCTGCATAGTGAAATATTCAGGTCTCACTTAGAAAGCATTAGCTATGGAGAAAGTTCTTTCGTCCCTGTTGCATGGTATTTTAGTGTAGGGCTAGGTCCCAGTTATTAGTAAGACAGAAAAGAATGTGAAAAACAAGCTTGGTCCAAGTCACAAGGTTGCCTTTTGTTTTTCTAATATGCTCCAGTCACAGCCTGAACACAAAGGTCAAGAACATTTACCTCAGAGATCAAGGGATACGTGCTGCTCTCGACTTAAAATCTGAGGCCAGAGACTAAAACGTTCCTTGCTAGCTTCACTTCTCTCGTGGTCAGAAATGGCGCTCTTGTTTATCTGCATGTGAAGAAAACAACAGCTCTGTGTTCTTGAGACAAACCACATTTAAAAATAATCTCCACCCATTGTCAGGTTCCTTCCGCTCTGTCCCTCTCTCCAGCTGCTTGGAGATGTGTGTGAAATTCAGCTGTGACTCCAGCCGCCAAACAGCAGGCCACTCAGGAGAAACCCCATTGCATGAACTCGGAGGAGGCATCAGCAACACAAAAGCAAAGAATTGATTTGGTTGTGGGATAAAGGAGAAAAAGGCAAGAATTGCCTTTTGTATTAGTCTAACTTTTCCTCTCCTTCTGAATAAAACATTATTATGCAACAAAGAGCCTTTAAACAATTACTTTCTTATTTCAACTGGAGATTTGACAAATACAGATTGTGTCATCCTGGGCTAGAGCCACTTCTCAGGGTGTGGAGTTACTTGATTCCGGCCCTGTGGATCAGTGTACTCAAAACATGTGACACAAGCTAGGTCCAGGCCTCACTGATACTATCTTAGATTGGGGTGGGGGGAGGGAGAGAAAAGTGTGTCTCTGTTTGGGGACTTGAAGAAAGGCAACCACAGAGTGAGCCCGAGTTGACCATTTTATTCCAAAAGTTTTCGTACAAATATTATGCAAATAAACCAAGAAACATATTCTATCACCATTCCTGATGAGAAAAATTACAGCCTAGACATCTCCATTTAAATGATGGCAGCAAATTTGGGACAAGAACTCCTGCAGCTGCTCAACTTACCTTCTCGAGAAACAATCCTGGAAGTCTTGTCTTTACAAAAATTATGCCTAGCGTCTTCCAAGGAAGAATATCTTACTATGGAACAGTTTTTGGAGATGCTGTGTTCCTGGGTGTATACAGGAAGATGTGTCATTTTCTTGTCATGTGACCAACTTTTGAGCATTTTACTTGGAAAAAATGAGAGAGAACACAAACATGGGAAAAGATGTTCAGTGACTTACTTGTTCGTGCAACTAAAAATGTAGTGTTGGTGCTGCTTTAGAGACCTGGACAGTGAAAAGGGTATTGTGTTTGCTCTCAGTCTAATTGGGGGACAGGAATCCAATCAAACTTTCCAGTACCACATGGAAGCCACTGCTAGGGTTGTCATTAAACTCTACACAAAATGCTATTGAGAACCCGAGAAGAGTCACTGCCTAGTTGTCTAGTGAAGGCTTCCTGGAGGCTTTGCCACTGGAACTGAGTCCAGAAGAAAGAGGATTATCTAGGTTAGAAAAAGGGAGGGGGGGGGGAGGGGAAACAAAACAAGAAAAAGTGTATACAGTGGTAAAGAGGCACTAAAAAACATGCTACTTGGAGGAGAATTTTGAGTATTCTTGCTGTGGGTACAGGAGAATAGAGGGGGGCATTTTAAGGGAGGATCCAAATGAGAAGAACCTGTGGGCCAGAAAATTCAACAGGCTGAAGAGGGAAGGCAGATAATGTGCACCAGTGAGCCTGAGCAGAACTAAGTACAAATGCATTCGCTGTGAGGAGGAGTAAGAACCTCTATCTATATTGCAGCTAATTATGCTTACCTCCGAAATGGCAGAGCTGGCTTCTTTTCCCACACCCTGGCCAAGAATAGGTACTGTCAGTAATTTGTTCATTCATTAAATAAATACGTATTGAGTGTGTTCTATGGTGAGATATTTGTATTAGGAATTGAGAATATAGCAGTGGATAAAACAAAAATCCCTACCATTCTGGGACTTACATTCTAGTGAGGGAGACAGACAAAATAGATAAAGAAGTAAATTGTTAAGTTGTCAGATAAATGCTATGGGAAAAAATAAAGGATGAACAACCAATGGAGAAGGGGAGACAGGTTGGATTTTAAATAATGAGGAAGGCCTCACCAAGAAGGTAACCATGGAACAAAGACTGTAGGTGGGGTGGGGGGAGGGGAGGCAGGGGGTAAGGTCTTTTAGGGAATTATAAACACTTAGGCTTTTGCTCTGAACAAGGGAGCTGTGCAGACACCAGTTGTAGGGGAACACAGGAGACTTGGTTGGAAAGTTTGTAAGGAAGACATTCCGAAAAAAGGAGTGGGCTGAAGGCAGCCCACCCTGTTTATCAGAATTCTGAATTAGGGGAGTCCAGCTGAAGGTGGCTGCCCCTAATTGTTCCTTGACCTTTCCAAACAAGTTTGTGTACTTGCAGATCTTTGAGTGATTACAGGAATCTTTATGCTTAATCTTTATGTGTCCTTGCTTAAAGGACACTGCAGACACTTGTGCCTCCCAAGATTACTTACTCTACAGATTGTATCTAAAAGATAAACTTTATCTCAAACTGCTATTACAATCAAAGCACGAAGAGGAAGGTTATCAAGGCTGTCTGATTCCTTTAGCCAGGCAGTTCCTTAGCCCTCTATTTCACAGCAATCCTGTGTCAAAGTAATCATTCATCAGGGTAGCCAGTGGGATGAGCATTTTAAGCAGAGGAATCAACAAATCAAAGGCCTTTAGGTGAAATCCTATCTTTCAGGGCAGGGAGGTTAAGGAAAAGGGAATGAGGGGGAAAGAAATTGTGTAAGGTCTTTTAGGGAATTATAAAGAATTAGGCTTTTGCTCTGAGCAAACTGTAAAAGTTTTCAATGGTTTGGAGCAAAGTGATAGGGGGGTTTGTATTTGTAAAGATTCACTGTGACTGCTCTGTAAAGCACTGAATGCAGGGTGGTGGGTGGAGGGTAGAAGCATAGATACCCACTGTGAGGTGAAAGCTACCTGGCACTGTTCAGGATAGACATGATGGTGGCTTGGACCAGCATGGGAGGTGTGGGGTGGTAGGAAGTGGTTAGATTCTGATTGTATTTTAAAGATAGAGCACCAACATTTCCGGACAAATCAGATGTGGGTATCAGGAAAAAAAAAGAGGAATGCAAGGATAACTCTGGGTTTTTGGTCTGAGCTATTAGAACAGTAATATTCCATTTACTATGGGAAAAATTGTATGGGAGAAGAGGGAGATGGCATATACAAGAATAAACTCAAGCCGAGACTGGTTTGGCTCAATGGATAGAGAGTCGGCTTGGGGACTGAAGGGCCCGGGTTTGATTCCGGTCAAGGGCATGTACCTTGGTTGCGGGCATATCCCCAGTAGGGGGTGTGCAAGAGGCAGCTGATCGATGACTCTCATCGATGTTTCTAACTCTCTATCTCTCTCCCTTCCTCTCTGTACAAAATCAATAAAATATATTTAAAAAAAAAAAAAAAGAATAAACTCAAAATGTGTTAAAGTCTTAAATTTAAGACTCAAAACCATAAAACTTGCAGAAAAAAAAAACATAGGTGGTAAACTCTCTGACATTGCTTTTAGAAATATTTTTGTTTATATATCTCCTCAGGCAAGATAAATAAAAGAAAAAAATAAATGGGACTACATCAAACTAAAACTATTTGAACAGCAAAGGAAATTATTTGATCAACAAAACTAAAGACAACCTCCTTAATGGGAGATTTTCATCAATAATATATCCAATAATTGGTTACTATCCAAAATTCATAAAGAATTTATACAACTAAAAACAAACAAACAAACAAACACAAAAAACAATCCAATTAAAAAATGGGCAGCCGAAACCGGTTCAGCTCAGTGGATAGAGCGTCGGTCTGCAGACTGAAAGGTCCCAGGTTCAATTCTGGTCAAGGGCATGTACATTGGTTGTGGGCACATCCCCAGTAGGGGGTGGGCAGGAGGCAGCTGTTCGATGTTTCTCTCATCATCTATGTTTCTGGCTCTCTAACCCTCTCCCTTTCTCTCTGTAAAAATCAATAGAATATATTAAAAAAAAAAAAAAAGTGGGCAGAGGCCCTGAATAGATACTTCTCCAAAGAGGACATACAGATGGTCAATCTATGTACATAAAAGTCTAAGCAGAGAAACCAATATGGCGGCATAGATAAATACCTGAACTTGCTGCCTCACACAACAACTTCAAAACTACAACTAAAAGACAAAAGGGACATCATCCAGAACAACAGGAAGGCTGGCTAAGTGGAAATTCTACAACTAGAAGGGAAGAGAAAAGCACACTGAGATTCAGAGGACCTGCGGAAGTAAAGTGCAGAGGTACGGAGGCATGTGCATAGAGAGGGCTGACAACGGAGTATGCAGTTAGCTTTTTCAATCTGCAGGGAGACACAAGCTCCTGACAGTTCTGAACTCTAGTTCTGGGCAAGTCTCTGGGGACCCAGACTCCTACTGAGAGAAAATGGACTGTCTGGCAGTGGGTGGAACTAGAGGGCGGCTTTCTCTCAGAGGTGCTTGCAGCGATTACCAAGGGACACTGAGACCTGGGGGTCTTTTAAGGCAGGGATGATGGGAAGCCATTGCTATTTGCTCCACACTGAGACTTCACCCTATCCAAGCTGTGCACAGAGGATTTTGCATATGAATGGCCTGGTCCTTTGAAATCTAAACTTACCTAACAAACTGCAGCTGAGTCAGAGAGACCCAGAACATCCAAAAGAAGGCCCAAGGCCCCACAGGAGTCTGCATTGCTTCACAGCTGGGTCTCATCTGAGACTTCACCCTATCCAAGCTGTGCACAGAGGATTTTGCATATGAATGGCCTGGTCCTTTGAAATCTAAACTTACCTAACAAACTGCAGCTGAGTCAGAGAGACCCAGAACATCCAAAACCCAAAAGAAGAAGAGGAATCTGCAGTTCTCTATATCAGTGTTTCCCAACCTTCTCTCATGATGAGAATCACCTGGTGGAGTTGTTAAAACACAGATTCCTGAATCCCAACTAAGAAGTGCTAAACTAGAATTTTTGGGAACATATAGGTAAAATTGTATACTTAACTAGTGCTCTAAGACAGATTTTATATACAGAGCATTAAGTTAGGTATGCAATTTTACCTATATGTTCTCAAAAATTCTAGTTTAGCACTTCTTAGTTGGGATTCAGGAATCTGTGTTTTAACAACTCCACCAGGTGATTCTCATCATGAGAGAAGGTTGGGAAACACTGCTCTATATAGTACCTGTTGGGTGGCCTCAGGCAGAAGCTAAATTAGCATCTCCTTGGTGATCCAAGAGCCAGTGTACCCAGGGGTCATTGTAGGACCATCATATTACAGCTTCTCAGATCCATAAGGGTCACTCTCAAGGGGCAGACTCAGTGAGCACCAAAGCCCCACTGAAGCAAGTCTTGCCTCATAAGAATGTCTCCAGCACAGAAGGTCTCCCATCATATACACAGCTGATCCTCACAGCCAATTGGCCGGGAGATCAATTTCTCCCAGTGATTTCAACAACAATACAACAAGACTGTGCCCACAGCCCACAAAGGGGTGCTCCAAGAGTATCCACCTCG